AAACATCTCCACTTGCCAAAACCTAAGTCAGCTTCAGATGGTAGCATCCAAAGTGCCCCCTCCTTCTTCTCATCACTATAACTCCTTTTCACCACTTGGCTCACACTCCTACATTGTTATGTACCCTAAAGAAAGGAGATATGTCATATGTTTTTTATTCATTGCTCACTCAGCATATATTACTGAGCATTTACAATGTGTCAGGCATTCAACTAGCTGCTAAAGATATGCAGTGAAGACAGATGCCACTCACAGAACTCAGCGAGACCGGCCATGGACGGTAGCAACAAATAAGCTGTGAACCCCATAGAGGCTATGAGAGAAGTGAAAGAGGGGAGCCTCACCCTGACATTGGTCAGAAAAAGCTTCCCCAAATAGTTAGCATGTAAGCTGAGACCTAAAGAATGAGTAGAAAGTAGCTAGGCAGAGCGGGGAAGAAAAGAATCTTACAGATCGAAGGGAAAGTACAGAAAGAAAAAAGTCTGAAGAGAGGACAGGACTCATTAGAAGGAGCAAAAAAATATATCATTGCTGAATCACATAGAACAAGGTGAGAGTGGGGGAATGGGGTAGGGGACAAGCAGGGCCCAGCTAAGTCACAGCCTTTGCTTGTAAGGCTTGTAAAACGAGCAAAAGAGGTTGGGTTTGATCCTGAGGGCAAGGGAGAGTTTTCAGGAGAGGAGTATCGGGATTATATCTGCATATTGGAAAGCTGGGAGAATGGATGGTAGCAGTAAAGAACAGGGCCCGATGAATGAAGATGGACACCTGGACGAGAGTAGGAGCAGAAGAAACAGAGGAGCATGGATTTGGAAGCTATAGCTAATATGATTTGGTGATTAACTGAACTCAAAGGGGCCACAAGAGAAAAAGGTCAGAGATGATCACATAGCCTAGATGAGTGCTTTGCGCATAATGGGTGCTCAATATTTGTGGAAGGAAGAAATTAATAACAAATAAGTGATTGAATGAACAAATGTACTAATGAATGAGAGGCTCAGAAAAGTAGAGTAAATTATTTTTGGAGCTCTTTTCCAAGATAGAACCATCCTTAGAAGTAATATAGACTCAAGAAAAATAATTTGAATGTGTAGGTTTACACACTCCCTGTATTTTTAAACAGGTGAAATCTGATCAAGATAAATTTAGGAGATACAAATCAGCACTAAAGCCTCAGATTGCTTTTGGTGTCTCTATCTTTCCAAGTGCTGCTTTCTTGAATCTCTGCCCAACCAACGATCTGTCAAGATCATCAATAGCTACCAAAGTCCCTAAATCCTAGGCCACTGGGCATGTTCCAGAATTTTCCACACTCTTAAAATAGTTCTTCTAATGACAATCTAAACTGTTCAAAGATTAATTCATTTATTTGTCAAGTATTGATTGAACATCTACTACATGTAGGACTAGAATCTGGGGTTGTAACCATGACAATATACACAGTCCCCATCCCTCCAGGAGCTACTAGTGCCCTAGAGCATTTAAATTGGATCACATATGCAAATGATGAAATGTAGATTTTTCTCCGTTTACTCACAAAGAAGTCTCTTTAACTGTGTAGGCATTGGCCTCAGAAATAAGTAGAGGCCTCCAGTCTGTGAAAGATGTCATTTTCATAACATAATATCGCCATCTAGTGGTCCCCAATAACTTTACCGATTGATCCAGGAAATTTTCAAGCTATATTCCTGGGAATGACTCTCCACTGTCTCCTCCAGATCCTCTCTTTTCTCTCTTTCAAGATAATCTATGAGTTGATTCTCTCTCATATAATAGGTACCCAATATTTGTTAAATAAACGTATAAACAGAAGGACAAATTAATTTCATACCTTGATACCTTCTGGCAACTGAAAGAAAATTTATAAATTCTTTCCCAGATTCCTCTGGACGCCAAAGGGCCTCCAATCATTTGTAAATAAAGGCTAGAGTTATTTCTGTCCTTAATTTAGCAAACAATTCCTTAGGTGCATTAATAAACTGATTTTTCTAAGGGTCACTGCTGTCATGGATGAAACCCTCACTCCTTCCCACATAAGGGAGCTTTCTGTAATCTAAAAACAATGAAAGACAGAGTCTGTTACTCCAGATGTCAGGACCAGTACCAACACAAATGACTGGCTCTGCAAGGAGGCAGGTGTGGACATGGAAAATCTGAAAATGCTTTCATTGACTATGTTTCTACACACAGGTCAAACTGGGCCAGGTGTCATTGGGAAGTGTGCTCAGAAAACCATGGTGACTCAAACGAAGTGGCCTATACCTATAGGGATCACAAAGAAAGTAGAAACCAGAGATGAGTTTCTCAGGAATATAAGCCTCCTAGGACATTATTTCAACAGGCTAAGTCTTAAGTCCTCTTGCCTGCTTAAGTGTGTAAAGCACATCTCTGTGGGATTCTGGCTGGGCCTCTTGGCTGTGGGGCCTTAATTCTTCCAGAGGGTGGGAAAATGGCAGTTAGCAACAGTTACCTGGCTCCTCCTCTCTCAGAACATAGGGAGGCTGAAGCAAAGGGTTCATGAGGGCTCCTCTCCCTCAGTCAGTTCTTTTCTACATGGCCTCATCCTTCCTTTCTAAGACTGTTGACTATGCACTAAAAAGAGGGACTCAGAGAGGTTTTGGAATCCAGTAGATGAGATAGTGAGGTCCTAGGTTCTAAGTCCAACCCCCTTCACTGACTGGCCTTTGATTTTTGGCAAATTATTTAACCTATCCGGCAAGGCCACAAGAAACTGTTGTGAAGGTTGTGGACAAACTGTAGGGGTGCTGCTCATGTTGTAATCACCATAGATTTCTATACTGATGGAGATATTTTTCAGCAGTTGGTAAAAAGTGTCTTAAAGGGCACCTTTTTTCTAATTCACTCAAAGGCCCCAAATGGGCTATCATCAGCCATGTATTCTGAGCCTTGCTTTCCTAATCCAGAAAACGGAGACAATCCACATTTATCTCTAGAGCTGGCCAGAGAACCAACCCAAATAGTGGATGTAAAGCACCCTGAAAACTGTGGTTTGTAGATTATATTTTCCTAAATTCCATTTATGATTATCCAAATTTGAGGAATTGGTATAACAAAGATGAAACAAGTTTCAGCCTGCCAACATTTTCTCTCCCTTTGAAAACAGAAGCAAAAGCCAGTGTTCATTCAGATGGCAAATATTTTCTCACTCAAAATATGTCATAACATTTTTTTTTTTAGGCAAGCCAACCCTTGGTTGACCTCACAGATTGTAAGGACTTTGTCAGCTTACAATCCCTTATTTTTTACACCTACAGCACCCGGTCTTCCTAGGTGGTCTCCTATCCAAGTACTAACCAGGCCCAACCTGCTTAGCTTCTGAGATCAGATGGGATCGGGCTTGTTCAGGGTAGCATGGCTGTAGACAAAATATGTCATGATTTAAAAGGTGACTTTATGCTCATTAAGAAGACTTAAAAGAATGTGCCAATTTCTGGGAGACGTTTTACTAATTAAAGTAGTTGAATTAATTATAAAACAGACCTCCTCAGTCTTCAGATAAAAGAGCAAATGAAAGCCAAGCCCTTCCCCATCCTCAACCTCACTACTGACCACTGAAAATTGGGTTTGCTCAGGAGGACAGGTCTGAGGGCAGGCTAAGGAAAAGTGGAAAAATGTTGTAAATTTTTTAATTAGCCCACAGAAGTCATTCTGCAATGTACATAATGCCTCTCAGATTTCTCTTACTATGAAGATTCAGCTAAATATAGTTCAGTCTAGTAACACAAATAATGTCATATAATTTTGATTTGGCTTGGAAAAGAGGAATGGGTAGGCAGCAGTTTGAGCTTTCTAATTTGGTCTGTTTTGAGACAATGTTAAGACGGAGTTGAACATTTAATCTGCCTTTCTTGTATGAACTGTACTTAGGGCAACCAAATAACTGATGAGGAATAAGTTTCTCTTTATAAAAAGATCTTAGGCCCAACCCAGAGTTCCACTTCTGGCATAATAGTCTAAGGAGCTCCGTGGAATGCTCTCCAGTGAAAATTGGGGACATTTTTATTTTTTAAGTCTCTGGAAATGACCCTAAGAGTATACAGCAAATTGAAGAAACACTTATTCAAGAAAATCTGTAAAAGCTCAATAAGAACTGCAAGAGTCTATGGTATGTGACCCTGGACCCATGCCTTCTCTCCCCCTGACCCCACCTCACTTCAGTGAGACAGAAACTCTACTGTATGCTGCTGCAGCCTAAGAATACAGGGCTTCCTCTCCCCTCAGCTCCAAGTCAGAGAGCTGTCTTCCCAGGACGGACAGGATATTGTCATTTCTCATCTTGATCCCAGCTACCTGTTGCCAAGGCTAAGTTCTTGGGAGTACAGCCTATAGGTGGAGGCTCTCTTCTTCTACCCAGCCCCCACCTGTGGGAAAGGAGCTTGACCCTGGGTGCAGAACTATTGAAAATGCCTGGGCCCCAACTGCCCCTGCCCCAGCTTATGGGGCATAGAGCCCAGAGTTTTTATTGGGTACATGAGAACTTCATTATATTATTCTCTTTACTTTTATGTAATTTTGTAAATTTTCTGTATTAAAAAGTTTTAAGAACAAAAACATGGGGAAAAAAAATCCTTCCAAAAACCAAGTTCAAGCAATACTGAGACTGAAATTCTGTTTTCATGAGCATCAGTGAAACTTCCCTGGAGACTCAGCAGCTTAGAAGCTGGAACTTCATACTCTTTCAGGTTAATACGAGTCCTGTGCCACATGCACAGGAATATTACACATAATGCATATACACATAACACAATGAATATTATTGGATAATGATGTCGATGCCATCCTCAAAAGAAACCATTTCCAGAGAATGAGGAAAAGCTAGGAACATAGAAGGGGTTCCCACAGGTCAAATTCATCTTCCTACAACTGGAAACCTTTCAGAGTTTCAGAGAGGAGATAAAGGTGACTCAGAAAACAGATGCCAAGAAATATTTCCCCCCTCTTCCCACCAGAAACAAGAATGAGTCTTTTGATTAAGCAGCAGCTGTGTTTAATCCCCAAAATTATTTTGGCCCTAATGGAAGAGAAAAAAAATCTAAGTTTCTCCCTTACTTATTTTAGAGGCAAGTAGAAGTGAGTGAAGCAAACAGAATCCCTAAGCTCAGGCCCTGGTAAAGGTTCCAAGGAGCAGAAGTCCCCTCTCCTTTCAGTCCTTGTTTCCAAGGTCACTGTCCTCAGCATTCTAAGCATCCTGCTGTGAAATAAGGCCACCCCATTGATGTCTTCTGCCTATGCCTCCATAGACCCTTCACTCTGTATCCCAGAGGCCTGGTTCTCCTCGTCTTCATAATCAGTGCCCTGAAGAATCTTCAGTAGTTTGAGCTCAGGGTTCCAACTTGTTCTAGACATACTGGCTGAAAGGTCCTTTGGAGTATTTTCTTGGGCTTCCTGCACAACCTCCATCTGAGTACCGATGTCCTCGTTAGTGGGTTCTTCCTTGGACAGTTCAGGATCTAAAAGAAGATCCAGCCATTAATTGTATCTGTAGCCTTTTCCCAACTATGACAAATGGAGGACAGAAAAGGAAGGGCTGGAGTGTCTTTAAGACCCTTCTCAGGGATGAGGACTGTGTCATCCAGGGAGGTGAACCATCCTGGTCCACACAGGTTCAGCTCTCCCTGTCCTCAGGTATTTCCTAAGGCTCATCTACCCTAGTAACTTACTCTGTTCATTGGGGACGGAATCCAGGTAGTTCTCAGCATAGTCCACCTGTGGTCTCTCTGTAGAATCCTGGAATTCATTAGACTAAGTGTAAGGAAACTTGAAACTTTAGAAAACAAAAGATTTTTCTAAATGATGCTTTTCTTGGATAAATTAACATCTAATGACAGGAGAAAATCCCACCTACTGACACTGAAGTGAAGTTTGTACCACATCCTTTGCCCTCCAGGCTGACCAGATGAAGCTAGAATCCACTTTTCCCCATTCCCAGCTCTCAGTTAAGGGTAGATTGCCTCCAAAGGTGGTTGCCAACAATCCCTCCCATTCCTGTATGCACATACTATTCCTCTCATCAAGAGATGGAGTCAATTTCCTCTCCTCTTGAATCTGGGCTAGACTTGTGATTTTTGACCAAAAAAAAAAAAAAAATGTGACGGAAGTGACACTGTTACGGTTCCAGGCCCATCCCTTAAGAAAGTGCTTGCATGAGATTACCGTGCTGTCAAGAAGCCCAAACTAGCCACATGGAGAGGCCTCATAGAAGAAATAACTAACGGAATTCGACCAATAGCCCCAGGGCAGCCTCCAGATGAATGTGGCTGCATGAGTGACATCAGGCAAGATTAGACAAACTGTCTAGTCAACCCACAGAATGATGAGAAATAACAAACCACTATGACTTCAGCTTTGGGGTAGTTTGTTCTGCAGTAATGGATAACATCGGGGTCCTAGCAGAATGTCCCTCATACACTCTCACCTGTTTCAAAGTGGGGCCATTTATCTTCATCGGCTGCTGCTGCTTTTCGTCACTCTCACAACCTGGTAGAGTTCTGTGACCTAGTGACCACAAAGTCAACTCAATTCTCTTCTTATTGGTTTATCATATCCCATTGTTGGGCTTCTTGTTGACCCCTAGTCTACAAGTGACTCCCCATCCAGGACAAGACAGGACCTCAGAGGCATGTAAAGGGGAGATAGGCCTTCTGAGTTCTATTTGTGATTCTGTTCACCTAGGACTGTACCCACGTCTATTACAGATTTAGAGGTTAAGGTAAAGTGTATGTTAAAAGATCCAGGATTCCTCCAAGAAAACGAAGGGGTGGGAACCTGAACAGCATAGCAGCAAAAGAAGCCCTAACTCTACCTTTTCTGTCTTTGAATACTCCTCTGACCTTCTTGCTCCATCCCTAATGTACCCAATATTGGCTTCTGAAAATAAAGCTCCTCCCCGCAAAAAAGCTCTAGTTCTAGGGTTCTTTTGCATCAGCTGTATGGCCAGTTAGTCCTGAAATGCATTCATTCTTTCCATTCTTATTTTTCTAAATGAACATCTTCCAAGCAGCCACCAGAAGTATTATGCTAAAAGGCAAAGCAAGTTAAGGAACTCCCTTGCTCAACACTTGAGCTGACTCCCTACCAACACTGGTTCCCACCTTAGCTGTACATTGGAAGCACTGGGGAATTTTAAAAAACACTGAGGCCTGGGTCCCAACACCGGAAATTCTGATTTAATAGGTCTGGGGTGCAGTCTAGGAATTAGGGTTGTCAAAGCTCCTCAGTTGACTTCAATGTGCAATCAAGGTGGAACACCACTGACATGGAGAAAAAAGGTCAAAAACCTTAGCCTGTACAAGCCCCTACCTACCTCTCTCCCTTAAATACCCAACCCCACAGCCATAATGGACAACTCAGTGTTCCCTGAGCAGCTATGCTGCTCCAAGATGCCTTTGTACGGGCTATTTCCACTTTCAGGAATTCTCTTCCCTATCGGGAAAATTCTTACACATATTCAAGATACAATGCAAAAATCACCTCTTCCATAAGGCCTGTCTCAACTCAGTGAGGACAGGCCACTGCTCTAAGAACATGATTCAAAGGGGCACCCCAATCACGCAAGCAAAACTGCTCCTATTGGAGGCATCAGGAAGAGAAACTAAATGCACCAAAGTAGAATTTGGGGGAGTTTTGATCACCTGGATGGGGTAATAACCTTGGACAAGTCACCTCTCACCTTGGACCCAGCCCTGGTTCCATCTACCTCCCACGAAAAGGTCAGAAGTCTTCTTAGATCTTTGAGTTAGAGGACACCACTGCTATCAGAGAGTTCAGTGGGATAGGAAATACACCAAGAGAGTAGCATCCTTCCCAAGCAACACCTCACCTGAACCCTCCCAGTGCCCCAGGATTACAGACTAAATTCTGATGATTAAACAGTCATTTTCACATTACAGTCAGCAGTGTCCAGTCTGAGTAGGGCAGAAGACTCTTCTAAAGTTTAGGAGGATTCCTTCTCCCACTTTCCTTCCCATTCTGCACACAAGCTGAGAAATATCAGAAGGACTGGGGTAAATAAATCCTTCAGCTCAGACATGATAAGGACTCCAAAAAGGCGAGACACCCATTCTTGTCTCCAGCATGAACACTAGAGGAAAAGGACCACCTATCAAGAAATGGCTACCTGTCTCCTATATGGGGCAGGATAATATGCTGATTTCAGCCTGAGGCTGCAGAGATTAACTTGTGTCAGAAGTGGAGAGCCCTGGACTCTGCTTCCTTAGAACTCTCTTGGGGCTCTAGCGAAGGGCCCCAGCTCCCCACTGTGTCACTGGCCAACAGGCCTTTAGGGGTCTTCGCTTCAGTAACCTGGGCTTGCTCATCTTCCTCAAACCACTCTGTCTTTTCTACAGTAGGAACTGAGGGAAAATGGCTCTGACTCGTGTTCGTGGTCCTCTCTCAAATCTGGTCCAGCTTGCCTGCTTAATAAATATTTGATGGAAGAATGATGCATGGAAGACTAGCCAAAACAAAGCACTCCAAGGAGAATTCTAAGTGCCTGACAAGGCAGGTCCTCAAATGACAAACATATTCAGCTTTTCCTGCCCTCAGATACATCCTGGGATTCTGTCACTCCCAACCCATATTCTCCTTACAATAGCACGGGTCATAAGCCATGGCACCAACATGTTTATACAAAGTGCTTTCGGTCCCTGGATCACTCTCAGGTTTCTTTTTAGCTTCCTGAAACACACATGAGGAGGAATTAAATTAGGACTTTTGGAAATTAAGGAAACTTTTTTTAAAAAGTCTTTAAAAAGAAGTTAACATCTACAACCAGACAGGAACTCTGTATCTATAACCAGACAGAGAACAGAGAGAATCCCACCTCTCATACATCCCTTCCCGTTCCAGGCTGCACCCAGTTGTCCCAGTCCCAGCAAGTCCTCAGGGTCCTCTCACTGCCGCTCTACCTGTTTCTTAGTAGGTGTCTTCACCTTCCTCTGTTGCTGCTTCTGCTGCCGCTGTTCCTGCTGCTGCGGTGGCTTCTTATGACCTGGTGACCAGACGGCCAGCTCAATCCTCTTCTCCCTGACAGCTCCCACCCTCTCCTGGGCTACTTGCTGTGCCCTGAGCCACCATGGTGAAACTCTCTCCCCTGGTCAGGACCAAGCCAGGCAGCTAGAGGGTACAGGGCAGGTGTTTCTTAAAACTGCAGTTTCTTGAGTTCTACATGTGACCCTGTATAACTGTGGCCACAAGTATAACTGAACTGGCACCAAAATCAAGTATGAGAAATGTAGCTGATGGGGAATGGTACCTGGAGACCTGGCAGCAGCAGAAAACCTGCCTTCTGTCTTCAGGTTATAATGTAGTTTCCTAAAATGTTCAGGATATCTCAACGCTGGTCTCTGGAGAAAAGGAAGAAAAGCTCTACTATAGGTCTTTTCCTTTCCCAAAATGTATACCCCCAATGCATTTATCCATCTAATCAACAAGTACTTTTTGAGAACTCAGTGTGCGTGTTACTGTACCAGGGGCTCTGGAGAGGGAAAAGTTGGGGGAACAAAATGCAGAAGAAATAGAGAATGTTGTTCTCCTCAGACCCCTCCCCATACATTTGCTTTCACCTGCATATAGCCCAGCCCTTCTGTGGGGCTTGGGTCCAGAGTGGAAAGATAGCAGAGAAAGAAGAATTAAAAAGTCAACCGTTATAGCCTGGAAGAGAGATGAGTTTGGACTTGCACGTAGACATCTTGCTCTGAGGCTCCCCAGCTCTTACTTGCAGGGTGAGGCGGTGTACAGATAAAAACATCTTAGCAGAAATGGCACTGTCAGGTCGGCTCTTTTCCAATGGAGGTTTCTTTTTCATCATGGCCAATTGTGTCTTCATCTCTGGACTAAGGTTGGTTTTACCTTCATCTGACAAAAGACTGAAGGGAACAAAGATAGCCAGACAGTCAGCAACAGTTCTTTTTAGAGAACGCGTCTAAGAAGAAGATGAGAAAGGCTCCAAATTTGAAGAAATGTCCATTTTGGGCCTAAAAGGCCTGTACCAACAAGTGCTCATTCACTAAGAGCTTTCGAATGCAACTACAATCATTACAGCTATATAGATTAAGTATTTACTATATGTCAGGCTCATGACCTCTATACCACTGAATCCTTACAACACTCTGCAAATGAGGAAAATGAAGCCTGAAGAGGCTATGTAAATCACCAAAATTCATAAAGCCAGTATACGTTTCAATATAAAATGCAAAGTTTGTCTCACACCAAATCATATATCCATTCTGCCTCCCACTTACCAAAACTCAGCTATAGAAAGAAGAGTGTAATTGGAGCTACCTCCTAGTGGAGGTTTAAATGAGAGAATATGTGTAATGTGCTTACTTAGCATTGGGACTGGCAGATGGTAGGTACTTGATAAATGGTGGTAATTACTGTCACCACTGCGTATTGGAAAGTCAAAGAACTCAGTGAACAAGCAGTGTGACTGTTTTCTCCCCTCCCTACTCAGAAAGAGCACACTGCCTAGACCCTCCTCAGCTTCAACGAAAAGCAGGCTTACATAATACTTACTACTTCAGTAGTTCCTGAGGTAACATGTCAAATTGGTTCCAAAAAGGAAAGAATTCTGAACTTAGTTGCTCAAACGTGTGTGCTGGGGAGGAGGGAGGCACAATTACCCCTGGAGGTCTCAACTGTGTTTCTGTGTTCTGCTTTCTAGAGAGAACCCAAGGTGGCTTGTCTTTCTGGAAGAGAAACCATGAGAAGAACTACCTGAAGCACGCCTACCCCAGCAGCAGCGCCCTCCTTAGACTGCACTATGAGGGCCATCACATTCTCCCCTCTTTTGCTCCCCAATCCTCTTGTTGAATTCAGACCACATGGAGATTAGCTGCTTTGTTAGGGTTTTTTCCCCAAAAGGTTATTAATTTATTCACTGAACAAACTGAACAAATATTTATTGGCTAATAATGTGTCAGGCACAGGGCTATGGCTGGGATTCAGCAATGGACAAAATGGACCAAGACACCATTCTCATGGACGTAGCAACTTACCAGTACGGTAACTCATCCAAGTCTATCTTCACCCAATGAATGCTAGAATTCAAATTACAAGCCCAGGTATTCTGACTCCTAGTCCATTGAAGCTCTATTTCAGTAATACTGGGAATTAGTTTTTAATTGACTAAAAATTCCCCCTGAATACCCAACAGTTCCTCCTAACATCTCAAGGTGCTCTTCACTTTCCTACAGGGAGGAAATAGGGAAAGGGTCTCAGAATAGAAAATGACTTGGGAATTATTTCTTAATAGGGGTTTCCTTTTGCAGATTTTGTTCATTTAAAGAGAGAACGTTGGGGGGGAGGGGTTAAGATATCTAAAAAGAAAACAAGAGTAAATTCTACAGAGTAATATCATAAAGCTTTGGCCACAACATCAAACTTACCTCTGTAGATGTCTTTCTTTTCTTCTTCCCATCCTGGCTGGGAACCATACTCTTCTCAGCTGGACTTGAAATAAGAATAACCACAACTTATTCCCAGACATCTTAAACAAAAGCATCAAGGATATTTGTGAGTGATGGCCATAAAGATTTCTATCCTCTATTCAGTACTCAAAGATGGAAGGTTGGGAGCCCAGCGGTACCTGTTGCTCAGAGGCTGCTAAAAGCAAGACCCCCACCCTCACTTCTAAATTAGGTTTCCCACCATTCTCTCATACAATCTACTTATTTACTTTCTTTTTAGCCACCTCATTGTAAGTAGCAGGAGGCCAAGCAGAGAAAGTCATAGTCTCTTGCATCTGCCTCTTGCTACACTGGAATTCTATTTTAATACACTTTGAGATTCATGCCCGGACACTTCTCTACATCAAATTTTATGTAGCAGTAATATATATACACATGTATATGATGCCTCCCTGTGACATTAGGGTGGAATTTAGCAACTCTCAACCCCATCCCATATGAGGGTACACTGGGACTGACCTAAGGGAACACTACTTATTGGTATTAATCCAAATTAGTAATTATATACTTAGGTGTGGTGATGTTTGTAATGTCTGAATTCTCCCCACCACCACCACCATAAGACTCCAGGAGAACAGGGACCAAGTCTATTTGGTTCTCCACTGAATTCTCACTGCCTAGCATGAGAAGATGCTCAACTATTTTTGCTCTGTCATCTTCTTCCCCCTCTTTGCCTGGAACATGGCTATGCTGGTTGGAGCCCTAGCAGCCTCTGAGACCTTAAAAGCCCCCATGAAGCACCTTAGAAGATGGAAGCCATGGCTAGGGATAATGACCCAGAAAGCTAGAAGGAATTCTGGTTCTGATTACCTCATGGATCTGACATACTAGCCTTGGCCCACCTACGTCTGGGTTTTTTGAATGAAAGGAAATGAACCCTGATGTTTTTGTTTTTTACACTGTATATTTATATATGATACGTACACACACACACATATATATCATATATATATACACACACATATATATGTACACATATACATATATATATACTATACATACAAAAATGCATATATAAAGAAGTATTCACAGGATCATTAAAAAAAGAAAAATAAATAAAATTCTTAAATCTCATCATCTCTAAACAGTCACTTAACAGAATCTGAAAGCCTCAGCAGTCACATAAAAAAACACCTTCTTTTAAAGGCTGTCAATATTAGCAAGTCTTCAGGCCTTTGCTTTTGTCATACTTTGTTGCACAAATTCCATATGCTATTCATTTTGTCACTGTACTAGGCCTTGGGATTGAAACCAAAGAGTCATGTACTTCACTGAAAACTGTTTTACTAGTTGCTGATGGATAATAAGAAAAACTAATAGTCAGCGTTTGTTTCTTAATCAAACTTCACAAATACATTGGCCCTATGTTGTATGCTATTTACTGCTACATAAAACTTGATGTAGAGAAGTGTCCGGGCATGAATCTCAAAGTGTATTAAAATAGAATTCCAGTGTAGCAAGAGGCAGATGCAAGAGACTATGACTTTCTCTGCTTGGCCTCCTGCTACTTACAGTGAGGTGGCTAAAAATATCACAAAAAAGAGGCCTACAGAGGACAGTAGGGATTTGTAGAACATAAAAGTTGAAGGCCTCTAAGTTCTAGACATGATACTCACCTCACATGCTTCTCTGGTTCTTCAGGGATCCAGATTACAATCATATTTCCAACATCTTGAGGGCAGGGAAGTTGTGTTTCATTCAAATTCAGCACTGGAAGCTAAGAGGACGATAAAATGCCTATGTATGGCTTAAAGGTACCAGCTCCTGATGGTATTCAGTACCAGACTAAGGACTGAATTATCAAAAAGGTATGGTGGTTCACAAGATGATGAAAAGACATTTCCCATCCCAAGAAAACAGATATTAGTACAGGTACTGTAAGAGCGAGCATTTTTAAGTGCATAGTTTCCCTGCCTCCCTGTGACATTAGGGTGGAATTTAGCAACTCTCAACCCCATCCCATATGAGGGTACACTGGGACTTACCTAAGGGAACACTACTCATTCTGCCCACTCCACTCCAAAGACTTAGATCCTCTGGAGGTAATATAATACAATTTGGGAGCAGGGAAGGGAAGTAATAGAGATGAAAGCAAGTTTTCTACTTTTAGAGGCTGTCTACAATTATAGGTGTCTACATAAAAGTTAAAGTCTTAACTCTTTTCACACTTAAGATACTAAAACACTGATGCTCAAAGACACCTTACAAATCATCTAGTCCATAACCCTAGTAGGAAAAGGAGGGTGGTTAAAAATAAGGTTGTCCCCAAGAAAAGGAACTGATTGGCTTGGGGGAACAGGGTATATTTCTTTGCACTGTAAATCTTTTTATGCCTTTTGAATTTAGAACCATGGGTATGTATTATCTATTCAAATAATTAATTTAAAACTAATTTAATCTAACCTTCTTGTTCTGAAGTGGTCAATGAGAAAAGTGCTTTGTTCATTCAACCATTCAAACCCATATACCCTCTCTTAGTCCTTGACATTCTTCACCATAACATTGAAAAGTGAAGTTTCTCATGAAAAAAATAAAAGGCATCGATAATAGGACTGCGAAGAATAGCAAATCTCTCTTACTGTGGATTAGTAGAAGGGTTTTTCTTCCTAAACTCTAATTTAGCTCTGCCCATAACTAGGTAACTGCTTTAGCAAATCAATTCCTATCTGGGCCTCAGTGTCCTCAACTGTAAAATATATGAGATAAACCATAGTAATGTTATTCGAACTATAATTGCAACGTACTCATAGGTCATAAAATCGAATTGTGTGAACTATAGCCTACATTGTTTAAAAATGAAATAGAATAAAATAGAACACGACAGAAAATATCAGAATACATCACCCGCAGTTAAGGTAAGGATTGTTTCATGATACTTTTGTTGTAAAATATATTTCTTACTGTAGGTAATAGCTAAAAACATTTGAAAGACATCGGAGTAGATGACTTCAAGGCCCAATTTAGGTCTGACATTCCAGTATTCTAATTTCCCTGTATTATTAGATGACAATGTGTACTTAGTAGCTGAACACGTTCTATATAGGATAGGAACAGAAAATTCCTGCCTATGCCAAATGTCAGAAATCAAAACCACTGTTGTCTGTGATTTCTGGAAACAGTATAGCATGTAAAGCCATTAGCACTGAGCCTAGCATATAGTTAGGGCCCAATGTTAGATAATTATCATTATCATCATCATTATCACCACCAGCATCATCATCATCATCATTCAGATTACAGTCATCCAAGGAAGAATGCTAAATAAAGGCAAATATTTTATTCCCACTAGTAAAGAGAAAATGCTGAGGAAGTACCTTTCTCAATCTGTGACCTATTTTTGGAGGTCTATCAGTACAGCTGATCAAATCTTTGTCAGGTAAATCCTTCTGAGGCCTAAAAAAATGAGTTTCCAAACATGAAACAGAGACACAAAGGACTTCTTGGGATGACAAAGTCAGTGCCATAAAGAAAAGCCTTCTACTTATCTACAGAAAACCTTGGGCTTAATACTTACCAAATGAATGTAGGGGCTCACCACCTCCTTAAATTTTGTTTGTTTTTCCTGGAACAGCTCCCAAACAGACATTGCACATTGTAAACATTTTACAACTATTTGTTGCATCAAACTGAATTCACGGCCTATGTTCCTCTCTCTCTAGCTATAGTTACATCCAAAGTTTAAGTACCTTTGATGCAGATGTTCAAAAACATGTTAAATAAACAAAATGCAGTATATACACAGAAAGGACTATTTCTCAGCCTTAAAAAGGAGTGAAGTTCTGGTACATGCTACAATGCAAATGAACCTTGAAGACATTATGCTAGGTGAAATAAACCAGACACAAAAGGACAAATATTGTATGATTCCGCTTATATGAGGTACCTAGAATAGGCAAATTCATAGACAGAAAATATAATAGAGATTATCAGAAACTGGAAGGAGAAGGGAATGAGGAGTTATTGTTTAATAGGTATAGAGTTCCTGTTTGAGATGATGAATAAGTTCTAGAAATGGTTAATGGTGATGGGTGCACAACACTGTAAATGTACTTAATGCCACTAAATTGTACAATTAAAAATGGTTAAAATGGTAAATTTATGTTATATATAGTTACCATAATAAAAAAAAGAATGTCGTCCCCTTACATTTTCATATTGCTTGCTATTTATCTTTTTAAAAAACAAGTTAAATGTATAAATGAATGAATATTGCAAAGAAGTGTAAGCTAAAGACTCAACTCCTACATGATGTAAGCCTCTGCTTTTACTCCAGCTCCCCAGCCTCATCTCTGGCCATTCTCCCATCCCTGGTCTACGTTCCAAACACACTGAACTATTTTCCTGATACCTAAAGAATTTCCTCTTGCTTCCCAGATTTACATGTGTTATTTCTGTAGTCTAGAACTTTTCTTGTCCACGTCCCACCTACAACCCCTACTTCACTAAACTGCTCTAATTTCAGGTCTAGGCACAAATGCCACCTATATAGAATACAGTGCCCTCCCTGGGTTAGGAATCCTTCCTGTGTGCCTCCATACACCTTAGTGGCACTCCTCTCATCACACTCATCACAATGAATGGTTCTTTGCTAAAAGTCCCCTGAAGGTAAAGACCGTATCTTGTTTACCATTGCATTGTATCCTCAGTGTCCAGCAAAGTGGCCCCCACTACGATATACCTGTGAATTCAATGAGTGACTAAACAAATGATATCACGGTCGTTACCTTCATAGGCCCTAATAGGGAGAAGTCGCTGTTCTCCCGGGGCTCAAGTCCTAGACAACCTGAAAGTAGTCCTACCCTTTCATATACTATCTTTAGCCTAAGAGAGATCATCAGAGGCTCCTCAACTAGAACAGGAGACAAGAAACCCTACAAGAGCCACCACTAGTGCTTTGATGCCAGATAACAGGGTCTTTGAATTTTAAAAGTCTGAATTTTCTACAGATACCTTTCCCTTAGCTTCACGTATCAGCAAGCACTAACTGGGAGCCTAAATTTTGTAGGAGATTCAAAAGAAAAAGCCATTGCTTCTGCCCGCAGGAGCTTACAAATCGTTTCATACCTAAAAATAAAAGATAAGAAGGACAATATGTGCAGAGTTTTCTGATGACCTATAGAAGTTGATAAGATATTCCCTGATATGGGCTGAACTGTGTCCACCAAAATTCACTTGATGTCCTAAACCTAGTACCTTAGATTCTGACTGTATTTGAACATAGGTTCTTTAAAGAGGTAACTAAGGTAAAATGAGGTCATATAGATGGGCCCTCATCCAACATGGTTGATGTGCTTATAAGAGATTAGGACATAGACACACACAGAGGGAAGAGGATGTTAAGACTTCAGGAGAAGATAACACCTACAAGCCAAGGAGAGAGGGCTCGGAAGAAAACAAGTCTGCCAATACTTTAATCTTGGACTTCTAACTGCCAGAATTTTGAGAAAAATTTCTGCTGTTTAAGCTACCAAGTCTGTGTACTTTGTTATGGTAACCCTAGCAAACTAATACACCCCCCATTTTAACCAACTCCTAGAACACAATAAAAATGTTTTCTTTTAGTTTCCCACTGTGTATTCACCACTTTTAACTGAACTGGTGTTTTATTTTCAATCTAGCTTTCCCAAAGTCTACTACATACGTAAAGGAAGTCAACCCAGAATTTTGAGATAGTAGGCTCTTAAAAGAAGATTCCATGATAATTTACCTGCCTTGAAATTTGGAGTCAAACTTTGAACCCTGATACAATAAAGAGTGAGGCTTAGTGAAGGTAAATCCTGATAAATGACGATGAGCACGTCTCTTGGCCCGGAAGTAGGAATCTGAGATGTTTACAGTGGTGAGCACTGGGAGTTTCTCTGAGAAAGCAGACCAAAGAAAACATGTAACATGTCAAAAGGGAGCCAAACAGAAACAGTTCAAAGATCTTATAAGGAAGGAGACAGGGGCTGGCTAATTCACCGTTAGCATCCAGAGAAGTTTTGCAAGGTGAGCCCAGGATTCGAGGGTGGCCCCTCTCTATCCGGCGGATAGTTGCCCAACACTGTGGATGCTGACAAACAGCTAAGTCACAGGTGGTTTCATCCCACTGGCTGTCATCTGGCAAGTCCATGGTTACAAATGGTTTAGGACAAAAGCAAAACTTGCAGCTTTCTAGCCCTCTGCAGAACAATAACCACATGAGTAGGGAGTATTACACACTAGCCATGCAATCTAGATCTTAATTTGGACTCAAAGCATAAAACCAGGTCTGTTCTATTCAAGTGAAGTTTTCCCACCAGACCCTACAGTTTCTAACTGAAGCAGTTTCGGTTGCCATTTATCCTTAAATTGCTGTTGCTTTTCTCATAATAGGGAAATATTTCTCTATACTCATTATCAAAAGCAGGAAAACAAAAGGGTGACTTGAGACATGTTTCAAGGAAAAAAAGAATTAGCACTCAGTGGGAGTGAGGACAATTTGTATGTACATAATATGAAAATATACAACTTAAAAAGCCACTGTAAAGCTATGGCAATGTTTTTGACTGGTAAAGATCTTTGATGAACAATTTAATGAACTAAAAAAATATTTTAACACGGTTTTTTTTAACGCGAATGTGATATTGTATTATTCTTACAAACAGCTGCTTGGCGCCCTTCGTTAGCTAACCAGCCTCAACTGATCCCCGAGGTCTAGCCATGTTCATCTCTATGTTGCCAGTATTGACGTTGTTCTGGCAAGTTTTGCATTCAAAAATTCTACTAACCGTTATCCTTAATACTATTATTACTAAGTTAGGAGGGGAATGATTAAGGATGGGACATCAGCTCCGGTAAGAGATGAAAGATTCTCCACTTCGTTCTGGAAAAGGGAAGTAGGAGAACCTGGCCTCGAAGGGCTACAGTTCTGCGAAATCAAATTAGATGCCGCACCACTGGAGCCCGAAGCCCACTGGACAACCTTGCTCCTCCTCCTGGGGCTGGGAGGGCTGTGGGTCCCTCCCCCCAGGTCCCGCCTCTCATCCAAAGGAGCCCCGCCCCACCAGCTCAGTCTTCGCCTCAGTCTCCCAAGCTAGCCGCCAGGCTGCGCCGTCGCCAGGCAGCGGCGCATAGCACTATGGGAAAGGGACGGAAGCCCTAGTGAGCCCTACTTAATTTCGTGAAAAAGTTCCAGACACGATGTTGGCTTGAAGCAGACAAAAGACTTGGGAAAGGACCCCGGATGTCAGTGGGGCCGGACAGAAGTCTCGGCGGCCCGAAACCACATCGGCAGGGAACGTTCGGATGTACCGGCAACTTGAGGTGGAGGCGGAGCTGGTGGAAGAGGGAGGGTGTAGCGCGCGGGGCAGTATGGGACACAATGTGGGCAACGTGGGGCGGGACGGAAGCCTCGTTGGGTCAGACTTTGGCGACGCGGGAAGTCCGGACGTGGTAGGTGCTTGAAGAAGAGGCCTGGGGAGGAGGGCCGGCCCCGGCGGCGACAATGGCGGAGAGGCCCGAGGACCTAAATCTACCCAATGCCGTCATCACAAGGATCATCAAGGAGGCGGTGAGCATCTGGACTGACAGATGAGTCAGGGACGGACGAACGGGTAGTGGGGGAAGCTGGCCCTGGGCCGGCAGCTTTTCTCACCCCCTCTCTTCTCACAGCTCCCGGACGGTGTTAACATCTCCAAGGAGGCCCGGAGCGCCATTTCCCGCGCCGCCAGCGTCTTCGTGCTGTACGCCACATCCTGGTGAGGCGGGCAGAGCTAGTTAGAGCTTAGCTGGGACTGTGGCATAAGGGAGATGCAGAGAGACCCCCTGGGTCGGAGTTTGTGGCTTTTAGTCCACAACCCCCCCGTAATGTGTCCTATTTTAGTGGCGGGAGGTTCACAGCTCTCATCCAGTTTTTGCAAGTTCTGAAACAAGTAAAACACCAGAATAACTTTGCTTTAATCCTTTCGTACAGGAAAGGAGAGAGTTACCATATCACATAAATCCATGCATCTAAGACATGGGCTTTCTCATTCCATCTCTGGGTCTCCTTTTTCCACCCATTCTATAGGCGGCAAGACAGGGTCTGATGGCCCTTAATATTTTTTTTGTTTGTTTCAGTGCCAACAACTTCGCAATGAAAGGGAAACGCAAGACACTGAATGCCAGTGATGTGCTCTCAGCCATGGAGGAGATGGAGTTCCAGCGGTTCATTACCCCGTTAAAAGAAGCTCTGGAAGGTAATGACCTTTTTATTTTCTCAGTCAAGTAGATGCTCATCCTGTGTTACCTGTTCACCTGGTCCTAAATCTTTTCACCTTGGGTCCTTTTACGTCCACTAAGCAAGTATTAGATGTGACTCAGAACCAATTCAGTTGGTACCGCCTTGGGTCTGTTTTATAACACTGGGCAGGTTATTTTTCCCTCTTTGCCTCAGCTTTTCCAGTTATTGAGTCGAATTAGTGGCGGCAATCCATTTGGTTCAACCCTGCCTACCTCCTTCCTCCTTAACAGCATATAGGAGGGAACAGAAAGGCAAGAAGGAAGCCTCAGAGCAAAAGAAGAAGGACAAAGACAGAAAAACAGATTCAGAAGAGCAAGACAAGAGTAGGGATGAGGACAATGACGAAGATGAGGAAAGACTGGAAGAAGAAGAACAGAACGAAGAGGAGGAAGTAGACAACTGAATAGAGTGAGGAGACTGTGGCACCTCGAAGGTACTACTCTGAAATGTGGTATATGTTTATATGAAACTTTTCCCTACTGGACTGAGCAGCCTGAGGCTGAAGAGCCTGAGAAGATCAAAATGAAAACTGGCTGTAATTATCAAAACCAGGGCTTCCCAGACTCAGAGCATCTAAGTAGCAGAATCCTGTTATGCTTAATCAGTCTAAAGGTTATGACTTTTTGGCAAGAGGGATTCTAAATGGATAATTTAATCAATTGGTTTGATCTCTTTTGTTTACTTATATATATGATTAGGCAGTTTTTGATTCCCAGTTCCCTCCCACTTGCTGTGTTCCAGATCACTGAGGCAGTCGTAAGCTCAGGAAAAATTGAGGTTTAGATCATGGTCAGCCTGTTTATACAGTATTTGGCAATACTAGCTTATTACAAGTGGTCAGAATGGTTTAGCGTTAGGAAACTACTAAAAAGCTGTGGTCTTTTCACTTGACAATTGAATATTGGTTTTACAGACCCATGGGGCTTGGGGCCCTTCTATATTGCCTACAGGCATTTGACCTGTGGGGTGGCTGCACTCTGGGCATATATGCTTTTAAATCGGCAGTATAGAGTGGAATTAGTCAAGAAGTATGCCAGTGTCTTACTCTTAGAAGATGGTTTAGTCTTATATGCACTTCACTGTCTGCTACTGTTTAGCTTTAGGATTTATCGGCACCTGGAAGGTATAAAATTCCAGGCTTTGTCATCTTGTAGTGCATCTTCTAGGCTTGTGACTATGGCTTTTCATTCTTCCAATTCATAACAAGTTCCAAACTTTATTTCTTCTAGGCACAACTTTCTCCTGTGCTTCTATTTTTGTCTCTCTTCTGCCTCTCTTCTCCCCACTCCCACTTTCTCCCTCCTTTTCTCACTTTTGCCAATCCAGAAACTTTGTTAACCTACTTAATATCCCGAAGTGCAGGTTCCTCTGATTTTTTAGTTCCAATTTTATGTCTTTTAAAAGTGATTTTGTAAACCTCACCAAACCTTAAGGGAAATCCAATGGCACTCAGGAATCTAATCCGCCCCCACACACCAACAGTCTTTTTTAACTGCTTTTAAAGTATCTCTGTTGCCCTTTCTTAGTTTTTTTCTTTCCATTTAGTGCTCCAAGCACATATTTGTCTCTAAGGCAGTTGACAGGTAGTGAAGTGTAGTTTGACACTGTTAATTTGTTTAATGAATACAGTGAAGATTGTTGAAATGAGTGAAGAATGTTGAGAAAATTATAGTGCTTTGTACAAATAAAGAGCATTCTTGTTCAAAGCAATGACTACTGTTTCATCCTGCTTGTTTGTAGTGTGCTTTTGGGAAAGACCCACTGACCATGCCCTTTACAACATTTGTTTGGATTATGAACTGGGCCAGACCCTTGTAAATATGGGATCCTGCATCACCTTGGATGACCAGCAGATGCTGCTCTTTCACAGGCAAGGGCACTGCTCTTCTGTCACAGCAAGAGCTTTCCATGGCTCTGCCCAGCACCCTGTACATATAGATGCTCAGCAACTCCAGACATTTACTGAGTTCCTCCTGTCTGCCTGGCACTCTTCCAAATGCTTTCAAGTATTAACTCGTAAACCCTATGAAGGCGTACTGCTCTTATCCCCATAATCTCAACTATAATGCTATATTACCTCTCTAATCTACATAGATTTCTCAAATCATGAATTTACAAATAACATTTCACAAAGATAGAACTCCAACCATCATTAGACCCAGTGGCTTTTTCTTTCTCCACAGCAGAAATATTGTTTATTTCCCATGAACACCACTCGGCTAAGTGTTCTAGTCCTATCTGGACTCCTGTGGCTTCCTTTGGGCTCAGTTTCCTGCTTCATCTCAGCTTCCCCTGTGTTCTGCTTGCCAAGTGGATCTTCCTGGAACATTGCTTTGTTACAGTCCCTTACTGTTTCCTAGTAAATCAAATCTATGCTTAAACCTATTCAAAGCCTGCTTAAAGAGGGCTCGCCTTGCCATCTATTCTAATCTGCTTCTACTCCAACATAAGGCTCCAATCAAAAATGAATCCCCCAGAAAAACTCCCACATGGCTTTAGTTCTTAACCAAACTTTGACTACCCAAGAAAAGTTATGTTTCCTGAGAGTGAAAAGTCAGAATTTAAAAACTGGAAAGAATTTTTGAGGTCATCCATCAGTTTTCTCACTTCTGTCATCCCTGTAGTGGTATCTGGATTGTGAAGATTCCTCAGTAGGCTAAGGTAATGTTTCTCATTGTTTTTAATCACAGCTCTTCATTCCTGGAGATTCTGACCTGGATTTGGAGGGAGAGAGGGTTACCATCCTTACCCATGCAAAATTACTTGTGTATCCTAATCTATTTTTGCTGCAGAGAAGCAACTTGCTCGAGATCTTATCACTAATTTATGCAAGCTGGGATCCTATTACAGTGGCCAACAGCCTTCTTTTTCTTTTTTAATTTTTGTTTTGGAACAATTCTATATTTACAGAAAAGTTGCGTAGTGTACTGTTCCCATATAACCATCGCCCAACTTTTCTTCATGTTAACATCTTACATAACCGTGGTACATTTCTCAAAACAAGAAAAAAAACTATCAATAAAATTGGCCAAACTATTGTATTTCACCAGTTTCTCTACTAACAATCTTCTTCTGTTCCAGGATCCACCCCAGAATACCATATGGCATTTGGTGAAACAATTTTCTTTTTTAATTGAGATCAATTTCACAGAACATAAAATTAACCATTTTAAAATGAGCAAGTCAGTAGCATTTAGCACATTCATAATGATGTATACAACCACCACTTCTATCTAGTTCCAAAACGTTCATCATTCCAGAATTCCATACTCGTCAAAGCAGTTATTCCCCACATTTCCTCCCCAGTGTCTGGCAACTACTAATCTTTGTTTCTTTTTATGCTCTTCACAGCATTTAGCAAAATCCCATGTACATATGTGGGAGGCACAATAGTTTAATGGGTTTTTATGTTTTTTCGTTGTTTACTTTTTTTTAAATTACATACTAAAAAGTGCAGGTAAAGTGTAGAGCTTGATGAATTTTCACAAACTTAGGCACATTCATATAATTCATTCTCACATCAATAAATATGACCAGCACCCTAAGAAGCCCCTTTGGTCTCCTTTCTAGTCACCCTCCCCAGTGGTAATTGCTGTCCTGACTTCCAACAGCACAGATTAATTTTGCCTGTTTGTATTTCATGTAAACAAAATCATAAAATATTTACTCTTATGTCTGAATCCTTTTGCTCAACATTGTTTCAAGACATTCATATTGTTGCATTCATACTCTTATGGATCAGAGTGAAAGATTAAGGTAAAATTAGTGGGAGTTGGGGGTAGGAACAGATCTTTCAATCAAGAATGAGAGGAAAAATAGATTACACCAAACAGCAACATTTAAAATTTTTTGACTCTGGGATCTTAGATAGTCCTAATTATTTTCAGTTATCAATAAACTCAGACATGGAACAGGTGTCATGAAAGAAATGTTGGGCAGGGGATCTAAATGGAGTGGGGGGATGAACAGTAATTACCCTAGAGTTGAAGGAGCATGATTAATTAGCAGGCACTGCAGAGAAAGCCCAGTATGATGTGGAGCAAATTATTTATCCCTAACATTTGTTTTCCCAATCTATAAAATGAGGATATTGTCATCAAAATTAGATAAATGAATGTGAAATATATGGTACTATCCCTGACTCCAGTGCACACAATACATTACTTCCTGTCAACTGGGCATAAATGAATCAGGAGGCTTTGCTAAAATTAAAAGCAACAAAGTTTTATTCAAAGGTCTTAGGGTTTGCAAACTGGAAACAGGAAACAACTAGGCAATACCTAAAGTATTCAGAAGAAGAAAAGCTTTATAATAAAAAGTATATTTTTGAGAAGAATCAGTCCCACATTCTTAGACTCTGGCTTGATCCAAAATGATAATCTTCCGGGTATCAGTCTGATTAATGGGATATTCTTTCCTGAGTTGCTCAGATGGTTATCTGTGGAGTTAATGTACATCCAGGCATTGATGCACACTGAAAAGTTTAAGTTCCCAGGCTAGTCAAAGCAATAATAGAATCATTTCCTCTTGCCTCGGCTTACTTGATTGTAACAATTTAGCAGCTTGATCACAGTGACTTCATTTTATTTCTTCACTCTTCCTCATTCCTTCCCACCACCTTTGTTATTTAAACATAGATCAGAACTCCAGTAGCTGGAAACTAAGCAGTGTCATATTTCCATAGTATTAAGTCTCTCTACCTCTTTAACTTGGAATAATAAAGAGGTATAAAACAGGTTTCGGTTACAGATTTTGAAAAGCAAATCTGAGAATAAGTGTACAATTCACTGGCATCCTCTACAGTTTAAAGTCAACTTTTCAATAATCTCTTATTCACCTTTATAAAGGCATTCCATTGCTAGGGCATTGATCCGGACCCATACTACCCACCCAGTTCTACCAGTTCACCCAAGCCCCAAAAGCCTCAGTAGGTTCCTGTTGCCCCTGCACATACTCTGCCCCAGCCCTCCGGTTAGATCTCCCATTGTAACCATCATAGGTCTGATGCCCAAAGTACCCCTGTCATTCACATCACATCTCCCAAAACATGGCACAGAGTAAACCCTGCGCAATTACACTGGAATAAATTCTCTCTGAAAACTTGGAAGGCAGCCTGCTGCTGAACTCAACTTTAAAATGCTCGGTCTGCAAAAATGGACTTAGCTATTATGTTAGGCATTACGGTGTTGTTTTAACGTCTTTGACGTCCAATTATTCTTTCAAGAAATAATTAACCAACACCAAGTATGAGCTAGACTGGGAAGAGGACTGCAAGACGGGTTCACTCGTAGGATCCCCTGCGCCTCTCTGGTGCCCCTCACGTGGGCTCCTTCGGGCTTTCCCCACCCATACGCGGGCACTAGCGTGGGGAGGGGCGGGCTCTCCAGCCCTTCGGCACACTCGATTGGCCAGGCCTCACGCCTGACGTGCGTGTGCGAGGCCGCGGCTGGAGAGGACCAGCCCGCCCGCAAAGTGCTTCAGGGGGCGTGGCCTGCACGTTGGTGGGGGAGGGGCCTGTTTCCGGGAGAGCCGCCCCGCCCCCACGTGGGCCCGGGGAGTGCGCGACAGCGGTATCGGGACCGTCTCTTCGGCGCTCTTAGGGAGGCAGGTGAGCGGGGTCCGGACTCGGGGAGATGGCGGACTTGGAGGTGGGGGCTTTAGCACCAAGAATCCAGCTTCTCCAGACCTAAATTGTGCTGTGCACCTGAAACGCTGGCAGTGCAGCGGGGGACCCGTCCTGTGGGGCCCGTGTTTGGTTTCTTAGAGGTAGATTGTCGTGCCGCAGCAGGGGTTGGGGTCTCCGCGTGGCCGTAGCCTTTGGGGGTCTCGGTCCGTGTTCTGCGTTTCCTCTCTGAGGTCCACTCCCTTGGAGACTGCTGGTGGAGTCTCTATATAAATGCAGAGCGCGCAGTGCCATCGCTGATGTAGGAGGGAGGTGGAAATAATAACAGTCGCTTTGTGCTATGCTTGTACGTACGTTAGTCATTGGCCCATTCAGTCTTAACAGCCCATTGAAGGCGGTTCGAATCCTCATTTACCAGATGAGGAAACTGAAGTCACACAGCTGGAAAGTGACAGAACTAAGATTTGAACCCATGTGTACAGACTCCAAAACCCACGCACTTTACCATTACGCTGCCAGCTGCAGCCTCGTCCAAAGTCACCAATCTATTTACTTCTCTCCCCCAACCCCTTCACCCAGAGCTCTCCACAACCCAACTCTGCTGTGAGCTTTGAAATCTATACTTAAAGTATCAAGGGGTAATAGTGGGCATTGAGAACTGGGCTGCTGGAGTCCAGAATTCTAGTCCTAGATCTGCCACTGACCCCTTGGGTGATTTTAAGCCTGTGTCTGTTCTTCTATGAGCCCAGTTTCACCATCATTTCAATGATGTAATCAACAAATTTTAAAGATCCTCTTAGCCAAGAAGTTTTAGGAGTCTATGGACCTGCAAATTCTCCTCATAGCTCCAAATAGCTAAGCTCAGAGGAGACTGGGTTCTTCAAAGCCCTAGGTCAAGGCCTAGGTCTCACTCCTCTTTTTAATTCCTGTATGTAGCACTGGGCAGGTCCAGAGTAGAGATTCAGGAAATGAGGGTTGAATAAACAAGTTGGTTCCTTTTCAGTACTGCATGACAGCTGCTGTTCTACGCCCCTCTGGGGCTTTGGATTTCTCAGCCCTGGCCACCTCCTACCTAGCTGGCCCTCCTGACTGCCTACTCCCCAACTAATGGCAGAGCTTGCCAAGCTGGCAACAGCTCCCACCCCTCTGTGCCAAGACCACAGCCTCTGGTATCCTCAACCGAGAATAACATGGAGAGTTCTGGTGCTGCAGCTCTTTCTCAGCCCCTGCTGGTGGCAGCTCTCGGGGTCCAACGGGTTACTCTCAGGTTGGGGAAGTTGCCTTCGAAGGGAGGAGATTACCTTCGAAGGAAGGAGACTACCTTCAATCAGTATGAAAAGCTACTTATCCCTCAATGTCCCCTCTTCCATGAAGCCATCCTTGACTTCCAGAGACCTGGTCCACCCCTCTACTATAGCATGTGTGTGCAGATTATTTCTCTTCTTCCCACATAAGCTGCTGGAAGGCAGGGGACCCCCCCCCACACACACACACACCATCCTTGGATATTTTGGAAGACCTTGTGGTCTACACAGGTTTGGTGAAAGTTCACCCTTCTGGATGTGGTGCAGAAGGCACAGCTATGATGGCACGCCAGGAGCACGCCAAGAGACCTAGTTTTAGCTTAGTTTTAATATAAAAGTAGCTACATGTTTACCGTGCAGCTAGGCACGTACCTCTTCCCTATCTAATCTTCTCTGCAGTTTTGCTAGTTTGATAGTATTACTCCCATTTTATAGATTACAAAATGAAGACTTTCAAAGGCAGTAACCTTACTCAAAGGTGTGCACAGAGCACAGACCTGGGGCTGTTTGACCCTGAAACATGGTTCTTTCTGCACCACTGTATACTGCCTTCCAGTTAAGCTAACCTGTTCTAATGTGGGCAACCGTAGGCGCTGGGTCCCCTGGTGACTTGCTCTTGATCTCAGTGTAGTATAATAGGATTTAAGCTGTGGGTTGCAAGCTCCTTTGATTTGGGAGAAGTGCCCTCCCAAGTGTGTGAAAATCTCCCAACCTTTGAAGAACTTTTTGGAAATCCAAACCTCCACCTGGCTTTGGCTCTGCAAACAGAGATACAACTCTGTTGGTCGGGTGTTTTTCTACTTCACGGATATTAAGCACCTGTTGTACTAGAATGGCCGTGTATGGTATAGGTCACAGGGCACTGGGCTAGAAGCCAGAAGACCCTATGGTCAAGCCCAGCTTTGTACCTGACTTGCTGTGTGATGTCAGACAAGTCCTGTCACCTCTCTGCACCCAATTTTCCACATCAGAATGTAAGATATAAACAGGATTGGTGATTTTCAACTTTTTAATTTTTTCATTACTGACACTCATTTCTCAAATCTAATCTCTCTGTGAACCCTAAAATTTAAAAAAAAAAAAAAAAACAGTTTAAAGTGGAACTGCCCTAGTGAGGCCTCCCTCCTCCCTTGTCCCCCACCCCCAACCTCCAGTCTCCCTGGGATAAAATTCAGACTGCAAAGCTCCTAGGCAGCCCTGCCCTGTTGCTTCTGATAAACAGAAGGTTTTTGCTTCCTCAGCCTTCTAAAGGAGATGCAGAGCTAAGGACAGTGGAATGCAGCTTTGGATTCCAGAAGCCAAGGACCTACTACAAATGTTGTTCTCTGAAAATTGAATCAGAGATGTGTAGACCAATCTGACTTGACTTCAGAATGACGTTGAGCAAGTCACTTAACCTCTCTGAGCCTCCATTTCCTCATCGCTAAAAGTTAGAATGATTCTCTGCAATTAAATGAAATAATGTATACAGTATATATAAAGTACCTAGTCCAATGCCCAGCACATGACACACATGGTATATTTTCTCTTGTTTCCTCCATCTCTCTAGCCTCCAAGGCAAAGATAATAGAGGAATAGAGACACCTACTCAGTCAAGTCTTTACCAGTACTATGGAGTATAGTAAACAAAACCCTGCACTCATTATCTAGAACAAATTCAAATTTTAGTTCGATTACTAACTAGCTGTGTAGTCTTGGGCAAGTGATTTAACCTCTCTGTTTTAGGCCAATCCTTGGCAGACCTGAGAGTAAAATCTTACACAAAATGAGCACTCAGAACTTTGTAACTGTCGAATGATTGCTCATTTGGGGGTTGGGGTATCTTTGGGAAGGCTTGGCTTACTCCTGTGTCATGATGTGGCTGGCTCAAGGGCGGGGTGGTAGGGTGGGTTCCTGTGTGGCTCCAGATAACCCCAGCCCTGCCAGGGAAGAGGATCCGATAAAATAGGCCCCAGAGCTGATTGGGAGGGAGCTAAAGGTGCCTAGAAGGCAGCCATCATCAGTGTACTAAAGGACCCACCCCCAGGCCCAGGGAGTGTGTGATCTTGGGTAAGTTCCTACCTCTCTGGACTTTGAGGTTCCATTTACACAGGAGAGATTGGTGGCTCTTTTTTTTTTTTTTTTTAACCTACTCAGTTAACGGATATTCCCCTAGGCACCTTGTTTGAAGGTAGAGTAGAGATATAGTGACCAATGAACTGTAAAGGTGTCTTAAGACTGAAAAACGAAGCAGGCAAGTCCATTGAATAACAGAATTTATTACAGGGTAATTTACTTACAGGAAGATTAGATTGGAGTAGAATAGAGGACCCAGCAGCAGCCTACACAGATTATTCTCAGCTGCTAGGTAGTTGTTACAGTAAATATCTTATAGTATAGCTGAACTACTAATGATTGACAAGACAAGGGGACAAAGAATGCAGTACAAGACAGGAATGCAGTATAAGACAAGTGGTCTTATAATGGATAATTGTTTAGAATTGATGCCAACACTAGTTTGATATTTATCTCGGTTGCTATGCCATTCTGGCCGTTTACTAACAGGAATCTTTAAGGTTAAATTGTGTAAGCTTACAGGACACAGCTAATCATTAACTGAGACTTTGGTACTGGCTGAGACTAGTTAGGTCAGAGTTCTCAGCATGGAAAAACAAGCAGGCAGACAAAGATGGAGTCGGTTTTGTTCACATCAACATCTATACACACCTCCAAAAGGAAGTGTCTGAAATGGAGCTCTGCTCCCCGCTGCCCCCTTCCTGCCTTGTCCCTGTCTCCATCGCCCTCCAGGTCAAACAAACTTCGAGCATCCACCCCAAGAGACTGCCTCTTGGCAGCCTTATGATGGCCCTTCCTTCTCCGCCCCTCTGACCCCACAGCCTCTATGCTTCTCTCTTCCAATCTGCTGTACTCAGGCTGTGAGAATTTTCTTCCAAGAGCCTGGCTCTGACCACTCCCACACTCACTAGTCAGAAATCTTCCCTGTCCTCAGCTTGGCCCCCTCTCATCCTCTCCCCTCCACACTTGGCTCGATTACCTCCTCAGGTCCTGAGAAGAGTCTACGACCATCCCCCCTTCCCCACCTTTACTCCTTTCTTCCTTTGCTGAGGAAATGTTCACCCCCTTTTCACTGCCTAGCTGAATCCACTCCTCCTGCAAAACCAAGTTCAAGTCCTCATCTTTCAACAAGCTCCTTCTGACCTCCAGACTCACATTGGAACGCACGACTCTCTTTTGGTAGGCTCCGCCTTTCCTAGGTGCACTCAGTCAGCCCTCCCTCCCAGGACTGTAGTGCCAACTTGATGAGTAATGTGTGCCAATGTCCTGTGTGGCCTGGCACACAGTAGGTGCTCAAGAAACAAATGATAATGCCCCAGCTTTCTTCTGTCTTATATCCCTTACTTATCTGGCATTTAGGGAATACTGTCTAGTATTTCTTGTAATTAAATATTTACTATGTGGCAGAGTGTTTGGGGGCAGTGAGCAAAAACGAACTCACTATGGACCCTGCCCTGCAAAAAGCTCAGTCTACTGGAATGAGATAAGGTGGATCCACAAAGAACTGTTATATAAGAGAGAATGTGATCTGGGCAAGAAGAGAAGCTTTAGTGGGAGAGGGAAGTCGGGGGTGCCTTGTGGAGAACCAGATAGGATTTGGGGTGGGGAGGTTGCAGAGAAAGCACAGCCCTCTAGATAAAGGAACATGGTGTGCAGAGCCAGAAGCCGGCCAAACATGGCTTGTGTTTGGGGAACAGCAGGAGGCTCTAGGGATGGAAAAGACTATATCAGTGGCTACTCCTCAGGGCATCTGTCTGTCTGTCTGCCAGGTATGGTGGTATTTAATCCTCTCAGTGTGTGTCTTGCCTGACAAGAAGTCCATATACCAAGGGGTTAACAGTGCTTTTCTCTAGAGGTAGAATTACAGGAGATTTTTCTCTTTTGGCTTATCTAAAATTTCTGCCAAGCACATAGACATTTTTCATGGAATAAACAAAGTTTAAATGTTAGCTAGATCAGTGTTTCTCATTCTGATTTCCAGTCCATCACAGATTGATTCTTTGATAAAATAAAATAAACATTAATTACTAGAAAAATGTTATTTGAAATGAAAAAGAGAGATCATATCAAGTACAAACCTAAATTTTATATTATCAGGTTCAAATTGCTATGAAAGTTTCTTAAGGCCTGCTTTCAGTTCTCCACTTACAGAGTGGCAGGGATTGGTGACCCACACTCAAAAGGGTACTCGGGTAGAGCGCAGGGGAGGCAGGAATCTCGAAGAGCCTGGGGGTATACGACCACCTCCTGGGGACAAGGACCATGTCTCACGTGTCTCTCATTGCCCCCACAGAGCTGAGCACACAGCAGATACTTCGGGAGCCCTCAGTTACAACCAGCTAGCTGGCTGTCCTGCGCCTCCACTGCCCACCATGCAGCCCCAGTCGGTTCTGCACAGCGGCTACTTCCACCCACTGCTTCGGACCTGGCAGGCAGCTGCCACCACCCTCCATGCCTCCAACCTCATCTACCCTATCTTTGTCACGTGAGTCCCCAGAATGAGCCAGCTCTCTGATGCGGGGGTGGGTCAGTGGGTGTGTATGTGACTGAAGCAGGCGTCTGTTATTTGGGGAGATAAAGTGAGCTATTGGCTTGGAGCTCAAGGTATTGGAAGTGGCCTGCTAGGTTAAGGACAGCCATCTTAGGAACAAAACAAATCTGAAAAGAACACGATCTTCTCATTAAGAAAACAAGAATAACCCTTACCTGCCATCCTGAGCTTTTACAATAAGATGAAAGCTGAGAAGATGTCAGGTTATAAACTGCTATGTACATGTAAGAGATGGCAGTCATGACTATTAATAATAGCAATGGCTGACGTCTGTTGAGCACTTATTGTGTACTAGGCGCTATGCTAAGCACCTCCATCTATTATCTCATTCAGTCCTGACAGCATCTGTATAAGAAAGCTGTGGACATTATCCCCTAGAATGTCATCTCCACAAGGGCAGGGATTTTTGTCTGTGTTGTTCACTGTTGTATCGCCAGAGCCTAACACAGTACCTGGCATATAATAAGTGCTCAATAAATATTTGTTGACTGAATGAATGGATCCACCCAGGATATAGGTAAAGGGCCTGAGGCTCAAAGAGATGGTGTGACTTAGCCAAGGTCACCCAGTCTGTAAGTGGCTATGATAGCAAGTGAAGACCTTGTGGCTTCAGAGTCCAATTTTTTAACCACTTTACTGCTTTCTATGATTACTCAGTATAGTTGCTCTTATCATTCACTGTTTTGTTGTTGTTGTTGTTGTTGTTCCTATTATTTCAGACCCTGGGCTTGGCTAGACAGGGGAACCAGACACTGGACCCCCATTCTCTTCCCACCATCTCTACTTCCATATTCCTTCCCAGCTCCCCAAAACCTTCCCCCACCAGTCACTCTCTCACCACTGGCCCTTCCCACCGCTACCAATCCATAGCTCACCCCCACTCTTGCAGGGATGTTCCTGATGACGTACAGCCTATCGCCAGCCTCCCAGGAGTGGCCAGGTAGGAGACACGGTGGGGAAGGCAGGGGGACAATGAAGGGAGAGGTGTTACAGGTGGAGGTGCCAGGAAGCAGAAGCAGACCCAGGAGGTAGAGAATCCAGAGAGTCTGACTTCAGCTCATTAGAGAAAAGGGTTTTTTCAGCGTCAAAGTTGTTCCACAATAGAAGAGGCAGCCTCATAAAGTAATGGGCTACCCATCACCAGAAATGTCTTAGCAGTCTTCCAGAGGAGAGCTGAACTTCAAATGGGAATTCAATAAGAATGTTGGAGGGGCCTTCCACAGCTGCATTCCATAGTTCTGCTGCTTGGGGCCTCAGCTTCCCCATCTATTTGGTGGGGCATTC